TTAGTTCTCCATTGTTCCATTCTAATTGACATTTCAAAGTGTTTGATGACACGTTCTTTGTCACTTCACTTTTGGAAAAGGTTGGCCTTAAACCGTCACTGTAAACAGAGACCAAAGAAGGTCAGATATGTTATTGCTGACTAAGTGTTGCTGTGGTTTATGGAGCACAAAGAAATGTATAGCTTATTCCTTTCATTTTAATTTATATTGCATTTTGATGTGGGCTATATCCTATGGTACTGCAGTAAATAAGGTTTCAGCGCACAGGTAAATCTGAAGAAACTAAAATATAAAATGAAGATTGCGTCATCGAATACAGTATGTATATATCGCTAACTTTCATTCTTATTTTGTGCATGATACTTATGGAAACGTATATGTTTAGCCTAATAGTTATAGGTATTGTTATAGTTTTAAAATGGATTCAGTTAAAATCATTTTTTAAAAGCCTTTACTCTATAAATGCTGAGAGACGTCATGTAACATGCAGTTATATTCAATATTTTGAAAGGATTCTAACAAAATTTCGAAATATTGATCATTCCTGAGTAAACTGCTAACAACGCTTCTAAAATAATGAATAAAAACACATTACATGCATAAGCTGTAAAAGGAAGATTAATTTGGGTACAGTAGCCTGTACTTTATATATATTCATGACTATATACGTAGTTTCGCCACAGGCTTATATTCACGCAAGCAAGCATGAGAGAGCAAATTCCCCAGGCATGCGCTCTATAAAAAATCAAAAAGGAACTACTGTATTAAAATTGTTGCCGGACGGAAAAGGGGGAAAAGCCCTAACTTCACTTTCTATCGGCTAGTTTTACTCATGATCATCATCGATATATGTGTATATAATAGAACAATGCCATGCTCTAACCATGTTAGCATGTAAACAAAACAGAATTACCAATATCCTAATGGTAATCCGGTCTGCGGGTTTTGCTTCTGTCGTCCTTTGTAGCTAATTCAAACAATATCGCAAAAATCACCGAAAGAACGGCGATGTTTCATCTGAAATCCAAGGATTTTTAAACAGGTCATAGTTCCTCGTGTTTTGCCGTAATTCATATTATAACTAAGCCGTATACGTGCATGTAATTCCGTGTAATTCCGTTTTCACACGTCTGAACGCGTATTATATAGCTATAACTTCGAATTAAAACAAATTACTACGAACTATAACATACTTATATAAAAAATTATCGGACAAAAGTCAAATCAGAGGCAGGAAGACTATTGTGCAATTATGACACATGCACGTTGAAACGTTTTTTAAAGCGAAGAGCAGAAAACTCTTTCAATATTATATACTAGATGCCGAGTATCTGGCCTCGACACAAGACCACCTTGATTTTGCCGTCTTCAAAGCTACCGCTGTTTAGTGATTCGAGTTTGATCATTTCCGCAGCCAGTTTCTGTCTAACGTGTGAATCAGTCTGTCCCTGGTTCATGCATCAGTGAATGTGAATCTATAATGTGTATTACGTCTAAAATGAACGCACTTTATAACATAACTCTTGCTCTAACTATAGCCTGTCATAAACGAGCTTCTATCTGCCAGTCTATTGTCAAACATATCTCTTCCTTAACAAGCAGCAAACAATCGAGAAATTGTCGGCAATTTGCCATCCTATCACGCACACAGAGATAATAATAATTAAAACAGCCAGATACAAACTATTTGTTAAATACGAAACAAATTTCTGTCCTCGCATAGAAAAAAAATTGCTCTGAATTCGAATACTCGTTGAAATATTTTTCTGGCAATCTATCATACAGGAATTCCAAGACACAAATGTTGCTTTAATTAAGCTTGTTAACAGTTTATATCAAGGCACAGAATTTGCCTGCTTTTTTACCGCCTTTGTCGATAATTGAAGTCGGACGTCTGTTACTATTTGGTGGGCACTATATTATGTGATTAAATTTCATCAAATTTGAAGTAGGCAATTGATCGGATATTCTGTTTTGAGGCTTTGTCTTCCAGCGAATTGCCACATTGGGTGCATGAGGTTCATAAAATATGGATATTTTCTCATATACATGCACTACCAGTTTTCGAATCCCAGTGCATGTTCATACTATTGTAATGACAGAAGCTATGAAGTAACTGACTATACTAACTGTCAGCGGTGATTTACTGAATTCTGTTGATATATGATTGGTTGAAAGCGATTTAAAGAAATCACGACTATGAAGAGTTTGAATTCAATCCTATACGTGCCTGCTGCTATTGGTGTCAAATTCACAAATTGTGATCGCATAACTCTTCAAACAACACAAAAAAAATTGTTTATTTAAATTAAATATGCTTGCTGTTTACTTAAGTTTATGGCCGGAATGATCTGTTTATGTATTGCAAAATCAATGCACAATTATACCATGTCGTAACTACTTATTGTCGCGCATGTCTGCGTCGAACTGATAACAATAAACAATCTTGAAGCTAAAAGCCTAAAACAACATGATACTAACTTAACGCGATACTGTGATTAGAAGAGCTCTAATGAAACATAAGGCGGTAAAATCCGGAGAAAAAAAACATAAATATAGATTGATAATCTTCGGTGTTAGAGGAAGGAGCTCTTTAGCTCTATCGAAAAGAGTAAACATTTTGGCCAACCAGACACTGAAAACGCCGTTGATATATTCCAATGCGAGCCAGAGAGGAACTGACGTAGTTATTTAATGGCAAACTTCTTTGCGCAAAATGAAAGGTATGAATAAAGTGCTGTCCCACGGAGGCGCTGCCTCCTGATGACGGTCGGTTGCATTTGGCAGATCACAGTTCTCACGTCTTAAGGCTAATTTCCACTCCGGAAAACGAGCAGCGGATCGGATCGGATTTTTTTCCGAGCTGGTCCGATCCATGAAGTGATTTCGGATCGGATCAAAAAAAGTTAAAACTATTTGAACTTTTTTTATCCGGTCTCGGACGCTTTCGGATCAATATAAGCCAAAAATTTCAACAGACGGCGCACGCGCGGATTATCTTTCGTTTCGATCCGATCCGATCCTTTCCGGAGTGGAAATTAGCCTTTATGTAGAACGCCAGCAAGCGAGAAAGCTTTACAGGTGCAAACCAGTTTAGTCATAAAAATCAGGGAGTCAAAGGAGAGTTATCATGCATCCTAGATCATGCATGATCATACGAATTCAACACCGCGGTCATCACACCTCAGACTCAATAGAGTAGAGAGCAAATGAATGGTTGCGCTTAATTGAAACGATTGAGACAACACTTCAACGTAAAGATACGGGAACAATTTGAAACTTAAGTTAATTTAACGCGAACTAGATTAACTGCCTCTAAAGTCTAAACACATCCTGAATAAAATAGTGCAGCTGCTTTCGCGTTACGGAGTGTTACAGAGGATGCAACATATTCTTTCAACGAGCTAATATGTTAAATTATAATTAGCCTGTTGGTCCAAATTTGCAAATTTCTTCCACTCACACAGGCTCATAATATCAGCGGGTGTCTTTTGTAAAATTAGGATCAGTAGGTGAAATGCAAAGCATTTGTTTCCACGACTGTGTGCCGAAAAATTGAGCCTAGTGTGCTGGGAAGATGTGACCAGCGTGCACGAGATGGGGCTATAATTTAGCCGGAATCAACATACATTACAGCTGGAAAATTTTTTGCGCATGCGTTAGTTGGGCTGCGTGTACTCCACGAGTATATAACGCGCGGTACGCGGCGGGATCTTTAAATTTATAAACAAAAACATGGTAGCCAACTATTCATTCGGTGTTTTGTGTATTTTGCTTGTTTTTGATGCTGTCTAAAATAAAAAGGAATAAACAGGGATAAATATTGTGGCAAAGTACTGCAAAAACACATCAGCCGGTAAAAGCACACAAATACTCAATATATAACAAGTACAATCCACTGAGAAGGGCAATTTTCACATCAACAAAATGCTATTCATCTTAATTTGGAGATTTCATTGAGATCTCGAGCTACCCGGCTTGCTCGATAAACACTTTACATCGACTCTACTTTCCCACGTTTTAATTATAATGCACTTATCACTCGCCCATTTTCAGTCCAAGCCATTTGAAAAATCGTCTTGTATTATTATACATGATATGTAAATTTAGATATGTAAATTTCCTGTTAAAAAGTCCATTTTAAAAAAGTCCATTTTTAACAGCAGAAGTAATGTTCGTGAGCTAATAAGAAGCTTTCCATACTTTTAAACTTTTCGATCATTGCCGAAAGAAATTCATATCTCCATAAAACTTTCGCTTTCTGAATTTCGTTCAAAATTTGAATTTAAACAAACATGCGGCTATGTGCCAGCGATTTTTTGCGCAGCGACAACAAATTTCCCAGTTTAGCTGTCACCGGAATCTGATAGGTGGAAAATTTACCCAGTTTCGGGTTGAATTTAACCAGTGTTTTACCACCATTTGCGTTCAAGTATGAAGCGTGAACGATTTCACGTTTTTTTTAAAATTTTAACCAATATGAGTTTTAGATTACTTGTTCAAGTTAACACTAAAAAGTTTACGCATTTTAACCTTGCACAATGGATAAAAAATATGCAGAACCATCTCAAAACGAAGCCTTGAGCCTGTCGTTGTTTTGCTTTCTAAACAGTCGGGTAGAACTAATGACTTTGAAACAAAGGAATACGCTAATGTACGAGTAAATGCCATACTGCATGATCGATAAGAAGAATTGAAATGTGCATGCTTCTGTTTAAAGGTCAACAATGAAATCACAATACCTTATATTTGAAACATAAACAAACCCGTAAAATAGTTTACACCTAACATTTGAACGCAAATGGTATAACATATTGTATCAGAATTGAACGAATATCACGCCTTTTTGTGATAACCTATTTAATATAGAAAAAGTAGCTAAGCTTACGTAAAACCATTGATCCTCGTCAATTATAAATACTGTATATGACTATATGCATGTGTGTATAAAAGTTAGATGCTTGCTTCAATCGTAACTATGAGATTTGTTTTTATTTTAGGTATAACATTTCTTTTATCGTTCCTCAGCTACCCACGATGACCGTCCAGAGCTTCACAACAACCAATGTATCTGATTCAAATAATGGAACCCAATCCCATAATGAGGTGCGCCAACAAATAGTATTCTTCGAACTCTTCTGCTATTCGATCATCATCCTTGTTGGAGTCATCGCAAATGTAGTCATAATAAGAAAATTGCTGAATCGAAAGCGGAAATCGAGTGAATATTTCATCCTAAATCTGGCGATAACTGACCTTGTAGTGTGTTCACTGTGTATACCACTGGACATTTATGATGCACTTCGAAAGGGTTGGCAGTACGGTGCATTCTTGTGTAAAATAATTTGGCCATTTCAAACGCTTTTTACATTAATCTCAATCCTAACTTTAACCGCAATGGCGATTGAACGTTATCGCGCTATAATTTCTCCATTCAAGCCTCGGTTAACCCATAGGGACCTACTCAAAGCGATAGCGTGCATATGGTTGCTTGGATTATGTGTAATTGCACCTTATATATTCTACTTGCAATACGATGGAGTTGATTGTATTGAGTCTTGGCCGCATGAGATGAGTGGGGCTTATTACACACTTTCGCTGCTTGTTATTGACTACTGCATCCCCCTGACTATTATAACATTTTGCTACGGCAGAGCGGGATATAAACTTTACGTGAACACGAAAGAGTTCGAAGCAGTGAACGCACATGTGGAGAATCACGCACAACGCACTCGCTTGGCACGGAACACGCGGATTATTAAAATTTTTAGTTTCGCCGTATTGGTGTTCCTGATCTGTATGCTGCCCGGAGACATTTACTGGATGTGGAAAGGTTTTGGCTCTGGGTCGGAATTTAAGTACGAACAGAATTTCAAGACTTTATCAAGCATAATGATATACAGTAATAGTTGTTTCAATCCATTTATTTTTGGTGCTTGCAATTTTGGATGCTTCAAAGGGCGATATCCATGGTCGGCACGGCGGAAGTTAAAGTTAGAGAGATTAGTTAGTGTGAATAGTTTGTCTGCATCAGGTAGTGGAAGAAGGGAGAAGAATGTGTCACATGATCATGAAACACAACAGATCGATTTTAAAGAACTTGAGAAGCTCAGAGAAACTGATATATAGAAGCTGGTTGCTTGAAGACTGGGAAAAAGAAAAATGATAACTATGGTGACTCTTAAAGATAGCTTGATAGTTTTTCGCGAATTAAATGAATGTTCACGCTCACAGTGTATACTCTTGTAAAGTATTGAATTTTTTAAAAAACAATTATGATATTTGGCACTTCAGATAAATTGATTGGCACTTCAGATGCAGATAAATTCTAGAGGTTTAAGGGTTTACGCTTTTGCGATCGCACCGGCATCTATTTAAAAAACAATTCGACTCAAAACATTGAAATAATATTATGTTAGCTACATATAATATTATTTTTCATATATACCGAGGCATTTGATTGGATTCAAACTTGCTTCTGATTCATTATAAATTATACGATGTAGGAAAGCAGCCCCTATATTAAGTGACATAAAGTTCTTACTGAAAAACGCTTTGCTACATTTTGATCCTGAGTCATCCCTAGTCGCTTACCTAAGGCGCGGTTAATAAGACATTTTGATCTGCAACATTTTTTAATTATGATGTGCTTGTGAATATTCAAAACCATTTTGGTTGGACTCTAAATGACCATGTTTCAAACCTTAGACGGAACATCGCGCGAGGAATTTCACATTTATGTGCCATTGTAGATTATCATTTGTTTAAATGATTCCCATAAGGTTGGGATATGACTTTTTATAAACACTGGTACCGTGTTATGTCAAAACATATGGCAGCCGTATACCCCACGTCATGACGTCGCACCAATTGTGAAGAGATCAGCATCTCAAAAATGTGATACTGTCATAAATGTAAGTGAATAAACCATGTTTTACGTACCTTACACGAACATGCATTGTCTGTTCAATTCCCACGTTCGTTATACGTTATATATTCCTCATTGAAAGGCAACTCAAGATCGGTTAAGAGGACTTTTAATATTGTACCCTGAATTTTTCAAAAACAGGATAAATCGTAATCTTTTTGTAGAGAACCACCTTATTGGAAGTTATAGCAAACGCTCCAAATCTATTTCATCTAATTATTTGGACCAACAAACCGCGTACAAAAATGAAAAACAGTTTTTACCTTTTATTACCTGATCGAGAATAAATAGGGGAATAAATACAGTACCAAAAAAGGCATCACTATCCCTATGCAGCTTTTAAGGGCTGCTTTCGCGTTTTTCATACGAACGTAAAAGTCTAAATCCTTATAATTATATGTCTTATTTTAAAACGCTAGCTTAATAAATCGTAACAATTGCAAGCATGTTTCGACCCATTTGTAATTATTAACAATTTGGAAGCATTTAAAGTGTTCCGTACGTAAAAGTGGAAAGCAGCACTATAGGGCATGTTTTGTTTTGTAGGTTGATAGAAAAGTCATCAGCTTTTTGGAGAAGCAACGGTTTGCAGAAAACCTTTCAATTCCAACGATGTTTCCAACTGATTTTTTGCCAGAGTCATTCTTAAACCCAGTTTAAAATTGAGAGTTGGCATAGATACTTTTCCAAAATACCGTAAAAAAATTCGTCTTTAAGCCCATCATATTACCAATGTTGCGTTCATTTTAAATATAACCCCTATTGAAAATACGAACCTCTTATAGCGTTTTTAAGTGTCAACGGTGTTATCCGTGGTGTTACCCATGGACATGCATGGATTTTAATTGTATTCTCACGACTCGGTTTGCCCAGCGTCTTCGATCGTTAAGTTCTCACTGCCCAAATAATTCCGTTAAGTTTTCAATGCCAAAATAATTCCGTTAAGTTCTCAATGCCCAAATGCCTCAATTCTCCACCTTCCTCGGCTTGATGATGTGTTTGATCGTTGCAAACGCAGTCTTCTTTGTCTCTCCCTTCCAGTATGTGCATGTTATTGTGATCTCTTTCCCCCTTCACGATAGATGAAAAGTTACCAGCCGAATTGTTATGCTCCTTTTCATGTTCTCCTGCAGAATCAGCCACAGAACATACCTTTAGGAAGAGGTTTGAACTTTGAAAAGTTTATTGACATAATTTCAGTATTTTCTGTATACATACCGTTGAAATTTAGAGCAAAGTATATTGTTTATGCTACATGCTACATTACACAAGTAATATTGTTTACTGGAAAGTTACATCCTCCCTCATAAAGGATGCTAATCTCTTGTTTACACTTACAGTCAACACTAGCCATATTTGTTGACAAGGCATTACGAATCCTAACAATCTGGTCACCTTTAATACCACAGATTCTCGGCAATCCATCTGATGCCATTTTTATAATATTGACATTATCAAGCTCAAAACACAAATTACTTAATCATCAGTTAATATGATAGGGAGAATAGTAATGTTAGTATAATATTACTGTATATATAAATTAGTACTACAACAGGAAGCACAGTTGCAGGTGTCAACTGGAAATTTCCGATATTTTCAAAATAATTTCCAGGGTCTTTTTAGCAAATTGTTGGTGGGGTTCATGAACAAAAAGGGCCTAACTGGATGAGCCATGAGTTAAAACATAAAATGCTTGATTCCTGCTTATGGGAGTCTGCATGGTATTGTGTAAATATCTGGACGTATTGAAATAGTTTAGTAAATATGCTATGAAAACCCTTCAGAACGTTTCAACCTTGCAGACACAAATCGAAAGAATTTTGAAATTTGAAACGCTTTGATAGTAAAATATATAACGTTGCATTCAGTTATTGTATAGTGAAGGCAAGCGCGCAGGGGTGCTTGGGGTCCAAGCCTATTGTGGAAGCCTGTGTTTAGATCACGCTATCCAAACACATGGAAATTTAATTCACTTTTTGAAATCAAACTTAGAAGACTGCCTTGACTACCAAAATATTACTTCTATTTAACAATTAGAGAGCGATAGAAAAGTTACAACGCAAGTATGGTGGTAAACGTAGACAGACCCTGACCCATTTGGCAACTTTAAGAGCACTACCCAAAGTACGACGCCATAACCTGGAAGAATTAGAAACCTTGTTGTCAACGCTAGGCCATATTCTCATCGCCTTACAAGACGATGAACGTGGCGATAATGAAATTAGAAGTCAGCGCCTTTGCTTAGCAGTGGAGGAAAAACTTCCAGTGGAATTTGTCAGAGAGTATAAGTATTGGTTAAGTGAGCGGGATGAAGATGATGATTTTAAAATGCTGGCCCAGTGGGTCGATGAGGCTAAGGAGGAAACGGGAGAATTCGTCAAAGCGTACCATGGAGGACGACGTCATAATCAGGGCTTTAATACGGATAAGAAAACTAGGGTCAGGAAATGTATCGTTATGAATGCGACGTTGATGATCCGCCTTGGGTTCATCCAGAATTTAAAAAGCTGCCTGTAGCTACACAGGCAGACAAATATCATTGGTGGTTTCCCTGCAACTGTCGAAATTGGCGGCAAGAATCTAAAATGCTGGATCCTTGCTCCACTGGATCATATGTCACCGAAAGCCTAGCGGAAGAGTTGCGCTTGAAAGGGTGTAAAGTGTGTGGTCACATCCATCAATGGAACCTTCTTATCACCTGCGGAAGCAAATATGTTAACTAACGCAACGGGGAACATGCCGGCAATTGAGTTGGACGAATTAAAAGGCAATTGGCAACACTTGGAGACCATCCAGTTTGAAAGAGTTTCAAAGCGAAAGCAGATCGATATTTTAATCGATCGAAAAAAGATTGCTTCCCGGAGGCCGTTCCCGTTGAAGATCGTCTTCCCGGGTTAGAGCTCAGTGATGGTAGCCTGACGACGTTGAAGACCCTAGGAGTTTTGTGGAATGTCTAGCAAGATATCTTCAAGTTCGCTGTTAACCCTCCGTCGCTGACTGAAAGCCCGACCAAAAAAAAAGTCCCAAGTAGTATAGCAAAGCTGTTTGATCCATTGCAGTTTTTGGCTCCCTTCACTATACGAGCGAAATTATTGTTGCAAAAGACATGAACAGCTGGAATTGGTTAGGAAGACAAAATGCTAGACGATTTTGTGCAATGAGTGGAACAATTGGCTAAAAGAACTGAGCAACTTAAACGGATTTGAAGTCCCTCGCCCTCTTCGCTTGCCGGGACCTACGGACGTCTGGTTGCACACCTTCTCAGACGCATCCCAAGATGCCTTCACAGCAGTGTCTTATCTTGTCAGTAATTACGAAGATCACGAAGCCACCTCACGGATAGTCGCATCCAAGAGCCGTGTCCCGCAACTAGAGTCAGTTACCATCCCAAGACTGGAACTCACGGTAGCAGTCCTCGCCATCCGACTGGGCACCAGCATTCTCCAGACATTGAAAGTCAATGGAGCAACGTACTTGACGGACTCAACGAACGTCCTGTGTTGGGTGCGTAACCAGAGCCGTGCATTCAAGCGATTTGTGCCGGGCCAATCGAGTGGAAGAGATACAAAGACATTCCAACGTAGATCAATGGTGACAGATACCTGGTGGGATAAATTCACCCGACATACCGACTCGTGGACTTTCCGCAACCAACCTTTGTGAGAGCAAATTATGGATGGAAAGACCAGAGTTTTTGACGGATGAGGAAAAACCATAGCAAAAAGAATTATCGAATCACGGTCCATGTTGTGGCACAATAAAACAAGAAGAAAAGGAAGACCAAGTTCATACAACGAATACGAAGCCAGTGACGACAGCCGCCTCGATCCAAAACGTTAAAACATCTATGACCCACTTTATTCGAGTTACGGCCTGGGTTAAACGGTTGATCAAGAAATGTAAGCCCCCGACAAATTCACGAAATACCTCCATTGTTCTGCAAGACATCGAAATTAAAACAGCGGAACTGTTCTGGATTCGAAGAGCACAAGCTAAAAGTTTCACTTATACTAACCAAAGGACCAACGCCTATTATAATTTTGCCCTATAGTCGAAAAAGAGGGCATATTAAGAGTGGATGGCCGCCTCCGCCTTGCTGAAGATTTGCCTTTCGACACAAGACATCCAATCATATTGCCCAAAGATCATTCGATAAGCCGACTGATTATACTTGCTGCTCACGAAAATATCGGACACGGAACGGGATCAGAATACCTCTTGACAGAACTTCGTTCGAGATTTTGGATTATAAAAGGAAGATTGACAGTTAGAACTCTAATTGGTAAATGTCCTGAATGCAGGTTCCTCACGAAGCCTTGTGGTGAAAAAATGGC